AACTTTTCATTTATCGAACATAATAAAATAGTTAATGAAAAGTCTAAAAAGAGTTTCTGTGCATTGACAAGGATATCAACTGCGACATGGGGTCTATCATTTAATACATTAAAGATCCTATACGGAGCTACTTATTTAGGTTCTATGTGCTATGGTGCACCTGTATGGGCCGATAGGGCGACCGTAGGCGCTGTCCGTCGCAAACTGTTACAAGGCCAACGACTTGCACTGATATTTTTGTGCAAGGCATATAGGACGGTTAGCACTGAGGCTTTGCCGGTGTTGGCAGGTGTCCTTCCGGTCGATCTCGAGGTGCAGAGACGTGCAGCCATGTACTATTCAAGACAAAACATGGAATGCGATTTCTTGGGCGCGCGGGATCGCGGTAAAATTACAAGATTGCTTCAACAGCAATCCGATGTCTATAATGACCTCATAGACGAATGGCAGCAACGCTGGGACGAATCATCCAAGGGGCGCCATCTTTACCAATTTTTTCCATCTGTTCGCGAACGGTTGTCGAGGACATGGCTTGAGGTGGATCACTGTGTCGCTCAATTTCTTACGGGTCATGGTAACTTTAAGAGCAAGTTGTATTCATTTAAATTAGTCGAGTCACCATTGTGTCAATGCTCAACACCTAACTCTCATTATGAACAATCTGCTCATCATATCCTCTGGGAATGTAGTCTTTGGTATAATGAACGTAATATAATGCTGAATAGCTTGCAGGTGACATCTGGGGCGGTATACTATGGGGATCTTGTGTCAACTAGGGTGAATTTCCGTGCGTTTAGGCGATTCTGCCATTCATATTATAGAAATCAAATATAGCTCATGTAGGACCCGTAATATTTTGTGGCCGTGGTGCTTCCCTGTTTAAAAGGGTGTATGCCTATTTTACTTCATTTTGTCCTTTGCTAAGGAGGGAAGTGGATTTACTGTATTTCCAACTACTCCAATTTTTTTCTGATTAATTTCGTTGCGGGCTCCAAGACAGTTTAATTTCTTCCTGGGACTTCCCGAGTGTCATAACTCGGTGTGTTCGTGGGTCACTGCTGTGGATCCTGGTGTACAGGAGTTACAGTGGTGGGCGGGTGGGTGGGATTAGTCCCAAAAAAAAAAAGGCACTGTACGGTGCACCGGTGTAGGCAGCGGCTCTGGCTGCCCAGAATAGGGCACGCCTATTGCATCCTAAGAAGGTATTGGAAGTTAAAGCCAATACCCTCTTAGGATAGTGGCGTGCGCGTTGGCCGGAACTCGACCATGGCATTTGGAGGCGGAAGTGCTCGCCGAAGTATTTTGGCGGACAGCTGAGTTCCGGACGGGTTGAGGCGGTCGGCCCCCGCCCCAAGAGGTACGCGAGTGGCGTGCGGCCGCTCGCCCAGCCACGATGGCACGTTGGTCGTCCCGGATGGAGGTTCCACGTACTGACTTTGCCGCCGTGGAGGCACTGCAGCTAGTCATCGTCGAGTGGGCAGGGCAGCAGCACCGGACCCTTTCCTTCTGGCTGACACAAATCCTTTCCGGGCACGGCTGCTTCGGGAAGTACCTTCACTCGGTCGCTAGGAGGGAATTGAGTCCCGCCTGTCACCACTGCGATTGCAGTGAGTGCATTCCTAGCAGTCATCGGAGGGGATCTCTCGCTATCGGTCGTCATACGCTCCATGGCTGGTAGCGACAGATAGCAATGTCTGAAAAATAGGTGTTCGGGAACACCTATTTTTTAGACATTGTCAAAAAAATTACACGGAATTTACTTAACTTAGTGTGGTAATCTAATTTGTATTAATATTATTATTATTTATTCATATTTCTACATTTCTTTGTTATTATTCTTATACTATTTACAGTTTAATTCGTTGATTTTTTTGCAATGGAATGTTAATGGTTATTACCAACTTTTAGAAAATATCAATTTTTTATAGAATAAGTTAAGTCCAGCCTGCATTTGCTTACAAGAAACTAACTTTACAGATGACCATTGTGCTCCAATCAAAGGTTATAAGCAGTTTTTCAAAAGTAAGCTGCAGAGAAACAGAGCAAGTGGCGGAGTTGTTATTTACATGAAACCATATACTCTGCCAGAAGAAGTACACATTAATTATAATTTAGAAGTTGTAGCTGTAAAAATTAAATTTCCTTTTTCAATAAATGGTACCCTGGTAAATCCACTGAAGATGTCGTATTGACTTTAACAGATTCTATTACCATAAATCTTAATAAAAACCTTAAATCTGCTGCTATATTTCTAGACCTTTCAAAAACTTTTGACTTGATTTAAATGTCCTAGTAAGTCAACTTCCAATACCGTTTATAATTTTAGGTGACCTTAATAGCCATAATTTCTATTGGGGTTCTGTAACATGTGAGGATGGATAGTTGCTTATTGGTTGGAAGAGCAAAACAATATTCTATTATTGAACCCACATATTATAACAGCAATACAGGTCACACTAGTAATATAGATCTTACGATTGCTTCACAAAACATGTTTTCATATTTTGAATGGAATGCTCTAGAAGATTTGTACGACAGTAATCACTTCCCCATTACAATAAAATCGCATTTACCACAAAACGAATCGCATTCTCTGCGAAGAAATTGCTAGTAGTGTTCCAAAATTTTTTAGCTTTAAATCCTAATGAATCCATTAACAACAGTGTACAAATATTCACCTAATTAATAATAGATGCTGCTAAAAAATCAATAATAAAATCACCTGGAAATTTAAGCAAAAAAAAATTACCTTGGTGGAACACTGATTGTACAGTTGCAGTTAAAGAAAAGAAAAAAGCTTTTAAAAATTTAAAAAAAAAATATCCAGAAAATCAATTTTAAAGTTGAATTTAAGAAAAAAGATCATTCTCTAGAAGAGTCCTTAAGGAAAGTATAATAAAGTGTTGGCAACAGTGGGTTTCATCAATAATTAGTAACATTCCAACGGGAGAAATGTGGAAAAGGAATCATAATATTAATCATAGCAACATTGGATTCAATAGTATTATTATTAAAAAAATCAAATGGAACATTAACAAATCAGAAAGTTGAAACGATCTGTCGCAAACATTTGCCAATAATTCAAATTCAAGTAATTATGACAGTGAATTCATATCCTACTGGAACAATCAAGAGCTTAACCATAACTTTGACACACACAATAACTCTGATCCAGTTAATAGCGACATATCTATGCAAGAATTAATATCCATGCTATCACAAGCACGAAATCGTAGTCCAGGGCCAGATAATGTTTCCAACGTTATCATTAGGCATTTACCAGAAATATTGAGTGTTAACATGTAATCTTTGCAAAATATTTGAAAAAGTCGTGAGTAAGAGACTCAGATGGTATTTAGAAAATAATAATTGCATTTCACTATTTCAGTATGGTTTTAGGCAGTTTAGGTCAACTACTGATCACTTAATGAATATTTAAACTGAAATACTAGATAGGTTTGCAAACGATAATTATGTGATCACTGTAGCTCTTGCTATTGAGAAGGCATACGAAATGGTTTGGAAGCACAGAGTACTCGTACTTTTGCAAGATCGGTGTTGGAAGAAATTTACTAGGGAATTGGTCAATTAAAGTCAGAATTAACAATTTAGTATCTGATTCTATTCATATCGTATTAATATTCATATATCTATATTTACCAATAAGAGAAAGAAAAAGAGGGACGTACGGAAATAATATTAAACTGTTAGGCTTAATATTCGACAAAAAGATGTCTTGGATAGCACATATAAATAAGCTTAAATCAGAGTGTTACAAAAGGATAAACATTATAAAGGTCTTATCGTCGCTAACATGGGGATCTGATGAAGAGTGTCTGTTGACCACGTATTAAGCACTTATTAGGCAAAAAATAGACTACGGTGCTATCATATATGATTCTGCTAGTTTAAGAACTCTAAAATTACTAAAAAGTGTACAAAAACAGCGCTCCGTCTTTGTATTGGTGCTTTTAAAACTAGTCCAATTAAAAGTATATTGACTGAAGCTGGAAAAATGCCCTTACAGTTCAGAAGGAAGCAATTTGCAATATTATATCTCAACTTAAAAACCCTATCTATGAATATTTAAAAAAAAAGTAAGAACTTTAGATCTTGAATACCAATCCCGCTAAAACCTCTGCGAATTTGAGTAGCAAAGTACTTAAAATTTCACGTTCCTATTAGTATTTGAAAATAAGAATTTGACTGTAGGCCCATGTGAAGTTTCTAAATTCCCCATTAACCTCGAATTAGCTGCAAGGCTAAAGCATGATACACCAGATTATATTTATAATAAAAAACTTATTTAAGGAAATGCCCTACAATCATAGAGATTACAAAACCTTTCGGTTTCGGATCGGTTTTGAATGGAAGAGCTGGTTGTGCGATTGTGTCAGATAATAACTGTTCCCAATATAGACTTCATAATTATCAGTCCATTTACAGTTGCGAATCAATTGCCATACTTAAAGTCATTAAAAATATAGAAAGTAAACCTAACGTTCAAAAATATATATTATATACAGATTCAACATCATGTCTAATGGCTTTACTAAATAATCAAAATATGCACTCCCTTATTAGAGAAATGAAGCAATCAATGATTAAAATATTGAGAAATAACTATTCGTTTTCGATTATGATCACAAGTCACGAGGGCATTGGTGGTAATCGCATAGACTTAGAAACACAGATACGTACACAAACACATAACAGGTTTCCGATCTCCCTTTGTTAACTATCTTTTTGTTAGTCAAAATTAATATTGTACAATGACTTTATTTCATAAAACAAATTGTATGTTACTGTAATGGGAGAGGGCACTGACTTCTGGAACACCGGTTTACCTAGATAGATAAATCACCGGTCTTTCATAGTCCACTGCTAGTGGACATCCCAACCCTAAACGTCAACTGTCAAAATGCATCTTTTAAGTGATTTGGGACTTTAATAGTCCATGATCTTTGTATTTACTTTTTACGATACCTATACATTGTAAAATGAAAGTGTTTGTAAATAGTTCGTTTTTAGGTATGCTCAGACATTCAAAAACAATTAATGTAGTTATTTCTCGCTCCATAAAAAATTTTGGACACAAACGACAGCCAGTTCCTATTATAACGACTTTATGGCATGGGTTTCTAACTTTTACGTTTATTGGATTAGTACTGGAGTGGAAAAAGTATATCATATTTATTTTCAAAAATTGAATTACTCCAATTCGCTAGTTTATTTCATCCAAAATTATTTTATTTCAGAATCAAAATGCTCATATTCGGAGATGCATTCGATACACCTATGTTACAAGAATCAGTAGAATCTAATGATAATCTGAAGTAAGAGTTGTTGGTTTACTAACTTTAAATATATATTAGTACAATTTTAAGTTTCTGATTTATTTTAATAGACACCAAGACATATATTGTATATTTAATAAATAAGTTTCTGGTTTCTGGAAATTTGCCTTATTTTATGGATTGAAATTAATAATAAGTGTAAAAAACAAATGGGGACCCCTTGGAAGGGTACAGGGGTGCCTCCCTTCATCAGAAAAAATAGGGGGACTGGTTCAGAGGGATTTCTGTATTTATTTTAAGACTGCAACGTCTCCCGTGCTGCGGGAAGAGCAGCCTCTCTGCCCTTGCATAACAAATAGTAGGCATCAGAAGAGCCTTGGCTGAAGGTGATCAACAAACCGAAAGTGCGGAGGCTGCTCTCCCTACTCGCCTTTCGCTCTATTAAAACACTACCTGTAGGACAGACTCAAACTAGGTGGAGCCGGCGTCAATCAATTCGGTTCTTTGACATAGGTTGAACCTAATTTATTTTATTTGTTATCTGCCCTAATAGGTTCTGTCAAAATAAAAAAAATTAAATACTTGTTAAAAATTTATTAATCAATTTTATACACATATTGTATTGCTTTAATTCGGTCAGCCATTTTTGACCTGTCAGATGAAGACTGGAATATGTGTTTCCAAGACTGGTTTAGGTGAATGGAAATTTGTATAGAGTGATGGAGAGTATTTTGAAAAAATATAATAAACATTGTAAGTATATATTGTTTACTTTTTGCTTGTCTCAAAATTTATATAGCAACCTACATATCAGACTTTTCCAGATCATTAATACCCATTATAAGGGTATCTTTAACCTAATGAAATAACATATGCCAAACCTAACTATTGTCAAGATATTGGACTTTCAGGATAAAAAAAAATGAAATTTTGCCTAATACAATTTTTTTAGAGTTTTATCCTTTATTTTTTCGTTTCTTTTACTGTTTTTGTATAGGTAATTATTGTTTTATAATTTTCACTAGCGACCCGACCCGGCTTCGCACGGGTGCAATGCTAATACTAAATATACTACAGAGTGTTTTTATAAAGAACGTTCACAGCTCTTTGTCATTAGACAATACAAACATGTTTTCTTTAGAGGTTACTCTTGAAAGAGCGACATATAATTGGCCATGTGAAAAACACTCTACGCTCAAATTAACACCTGTAGCGTTGACAGTTTGACTCTGCGATTTATTAATGGTCATTGCTTCGGAAATTGTAGGCTTAAATTGGAACGGTAAATAAGATGGTATTAGACGAATTCGGGGAATCAATACATCTATCCTGGGTCCACATCTGGTGCACTCTATTACGAAAGTTTTTAGTGATTTACGCGTGCCATTGCAAAGTTTAGGTGGATTCAGGTTTCTTAATAAAATAGGACAACGTACTTTCAACACCATTTTACGAGGACGGAGTCCAGACGGGTTCAAAGAATTTAAAAATTCTGTAGGAAAATGAACAGCTTCTTCCAAATCGATAAAAGTATCGACCGAGTAATAAATTTGCGTCGGCGCATCAATCTTTGAAAGAATCAAGGTATTTACCTTATCTACTTGTTCGTTAGTTGGTGACAGAATAGCTCTTTCTTTAAACCAAGATATAGTCTTACAACTTATGTTATCAATGTCGGGATATACATTGTTGATCAAGCTCTTAAGACTATACCAACCTTAAAGATTGAAATATCTTCTATACTAAGACCCGAGCAAAAGTGACAACAAAAAGTGTGCGAATAGTTGCGAATTATTAACGACAAAATTTTGGAGAAAACAGATATTCGCTAGGTGCCCTAGTTTTTAGGGTTCCGTACCTCAAAAGGTAAAAAAGGAATTTTTATTAGATCACTTTCATGTCCGTCTGTACGTGTGTCACCACCGATTTTCTCAAGAACGGGTAATCCTAGCAAGTTGGAATTTAAACCAAATACTGAGGTCTATGGTCCCTATTAGGTGTATAAAAATCAAGGTCCTGAGTCAACACAATAAAAAGATATGGGCAAATTTAGATTTTCGCGAAAACTTGTAGGTACCAAAATTTACCTTAATTTTCAACTTTTTTTATTTTTCAGAATTTTCTCTTTACTTGTGCTATAAGACCTTGCTTTTAACCAAAATTGACAATTCTAGGTCAACCGGAAGTACCCTATAGGTTTTGGGTCGAAAACCTGTATGATAGTTCCCATTGACCTAGAATCACGAAATTTGGCGTTTAAAAGAAACATCTTACAGCACAAGTAGAGGAATAATTCCAAAAATTTTAAAAAGTTGGAAATTAAGATAATTTGGTACTTACTAATTTTCGCGAAAATTACGTAAAATCTGGGTAGGTAAGGAACCCTCGGCGCACGAGTACGACTCGTACCTGACCGGTTTTTTGAGATATAAGCGTGGCCGACCTGGGAAGATTCTCCCTAGGTCGGCCACCTTTAAACCAGTAACTTCTGAAACCAGTGTAACTTTTAAACCAGTTACCGACAAATTCTGATATTTGGCGATAAATTTCGACTAATTAGCGACTAAATTTAGGTGAAAACAGATTACATAATAATATAATATAATAATTCGATAAATTAGCGACTAAAAGTATAAAACAGACCTTTATGTGTCCTTTGTTTTGCTGACGGGTACGAAAATCCCTTCGGATCTCCGGCTCCTTGGGGATGTAGGAGCCATGACCTTTAGGTGTCCTAGTTTTGGAGATATAAGCGTGACCAAGCTGGGGAGATTGAACGAAACGAAACGAACTGAAACGCTTATAACTTTTGAACCAGTGACCGACAAATTCTGATATTTGGCGATAAATTTCGACTAATTAGCGACTAAATTTTTGTGTTATCAAAATTTAAATCCATGATGGTGGCCAAGTCAGTGTGGAGGAACGGGTGTCATGTCCCTCGAACACAAAGGAATCCTCCGACGAGTGATCATGCTTGGCGGGCAGCGGCCCAAAGGTTGATGTTGGGAACTTGTATATATGCTAATCGGCGAGAGAATTCTACATATCACGACACAGGTTTAGCAATTCTCATTCAAGATTTACTCCGTAGATCGGTGTATCTTCGTTAGATGGCGCTGTAGTATGTTTCTGTTTCTTTGTATGTGTAATAAAATAATAATAATATTCTACCACATTCACACAACGCCATCTAGTCCTAAACTAAGCAGAGCTTGTACTATGGGTACTAGACAACTGATAAAAATACATATATATACTTTTTTTTTTTGTAAATACACACATATTATACATAGACACGCCCAGATCAAATCAAACATTAAATGTTCATGCACACAAATGTTTGACTTGAGCGGGAATCGAACCCGCGACCTGTTACCGCAAATAGCAGTCTGTTACACAAACCACTACGCCATGCGGTCGTCACAGTATAAAGTTGAAGTTGTCGTCAAAGTGATGTAGTGTATCTCGCTACATCACTTTCCTCCAAGACCGGAGGACGATATCTATCTATGCCCTGTTGTGGAGCGTGCCAGTGCCAGTAGTAAGTAGTCCCAAGTGAGTAGGGGCGGTTGATGCTGCTTAGACGGGAGAGGTGTGCGTTACCCCAGCAAAATAATGTCGAAAATGGTCATTTAAACTTTATAGATAATTAGTTGCTCCCCTTCTGTAATTGTTAAGCACATTTTTAAATTTGTTTCACTTAAACTTTTTTAGTTATTTCAAAAAAACATTTCCTGCTGGAGTAACGTTTGAAACGTTACCGCAGCCAGACATTTTCTTTTTTAATTGTAATATTGAAATAAATTTTAGCTAAATAATTAGTTATCTGGACTAGGTAAATGTTACAAGTTATTTGGTATTTGTATTTTCTTCGGTTGCGAAGTTATTCGAAATCCTGCTGGAGTAACGTTTGTGGGTTTGCTGGATCTCTGAAACGGGTAAGCGGATTGTAACCATCTTTTGTACATAACTTCTTAAGGATTAGTTTTAATTTGTTCGACAATAAAATAACAAAAATAATGGACCGTTTAAAAATTATTTAGGTAAGTATGAAAACACTTAAATACGTCCTAACACTTTAAATAAGACCTCTTAAGACTTACTTGAAACGTTATTCTATTGCTTGTAACTACCTTGAAATGTATACGAATTTTCGTAAGAATACTGTAAGTGACTAAAAAGTTATGATGAAATGTAGTTCTCCACGTTCACGATCACAATGTGTGCGGCCTTTTTTGGCCACCGATAAACCTGTGTGTGGATATATAAACTGAATGTTATGCCCATAATTAGTTGTTTAGTTCAGTTGTCTACCTGTAAAATTTCAGCGTAGTACACATAATAATTTACGAGATAATTAAATAAAAGTCATTAGAAGGTGCAAGACCGTGGTAACCCGACCATGTTTAGGTGGTTACAAAAAAGCGATCACCCAGTACATTGTGCTGGCTTTTAAAATATGTAGGATATTATTTGCAAGTTTACTACGGATATGTACATAAGTTTTACAAGAAACTACATGTTTTTTAAATAATTTTTATTTAGGATTGTTTATTGCATAATTAGTAATCAGCCGGGAGATTAGGTATTGTTTTGAATGCTTTTGTTTTCTCGTAATGTTTAGGTGAATTGTTTATAGTTGTTCATAGAATTGGTACCTGCGTAGTATTTGTTAATTGAAGTTTAATTTTAGGGTAGGTATAGGTAATTTAAGAAATATGAAATGAAATGATAAGTTTTGAAGAGTGTAACGTATGCGGTATATAATATAGGTATTTTGTGAATAGATGGGGATTTTTTTAAGTGATGAATCGACTTAGGCTAGCATATCGCGAACAAAGTCTGTATTGCATTATTTCTGTAATAATGTTGGAGAAAATAAAATATTTGATCACAAAATCGCGGTGAGTTAAATTATAATAAAATAAATTATTTATGTAAAATTAGTAATAAGTGATATACCTACCTAAAAGTTATGATCGTTTTTAATTTGTTCACCCTGAACGAAATTTCAATATTAGCATTAGTAATTAATATCCTAAGACAAGAATTGACAATTACTTAAATTGAATCGAATTAACATTAATGCCTATTATTAGTAATTAGGTACACACATATTGAAGAACTCTCAAGAATACGATAAATATTTGCAAAAATAGAAAGCGGAAGCGCACACGTACTTTACAACACGTATATTATCTGCCTAAGGGTCAAGTTTAGTGCACTAGATGCAAATTGCAAACAATGAAGTATCCCTTCGCCCCTCCTCTCCCGCGTTCTAGCGAAGGATGTATTATCAGCGATTCTTGATTGACAAATATTATCTGACCAATAATTTTATCTATAAAAATGTATCACTTTCACTCGATAAATTAAATTACCGTTATTATATCAAAATATCATTCAACAACTGTTCGTTTTTAACAGAAATCAACAGTAACGGGCTCAACGCTTAACGGTAGGTACATAGGTATAGATAATTCTCGGTTCTAGGTATAGACCACAGAACAATATTACCTACTCTTACGAGGTATACGTCTGTTGGGCGATGCAATGTTGATGCATTCTAATTTACAACTGTATTCTTCTACTATTCGGTCTATTTTAACTTATTGTAGATAACTTGTTGCTTTAAATATTTTGATGCATTCAAGTCTAAGCTCTATACACCCCAAAATAAAATACAATTACTTTAGTGTTATTTCTTTACAAAAAAAAAATCAAAGAAATGAAACGATTTCTTATTGGTTTAAATTTTCGTTTTATTACAGTCAGGTGAATCGTTCATACATGTATCTACATATTTATAATTTTAGCGGACCAGTGCAGATTTTCTGTTGATTGTAACTCCGGTAGTAAAAAAGACTAAATAAATTTTAAGTAAAGAAACTAGTGCTTAAGATCAATTAGGGAAAAAAACAAAATAAATAATAGGTAATAATAATGAATAAATATTGAATGTATTTAACACTGTACGCAACTGTACCGAAATCGTAAGGTGTATTACACTAAACATTTTAAAAGACAGCGCAATGTACTGGGTGATCGCTTTTTTGTAACCACCTAAACATGGTCGGATTACCACGGACTTGCACCTTCTAATGACTTTTATTTAATTATCTCGTAAATTATTATATGTACGACGCTGAAATTCTACAGGTAGACAACTGAACTAAACAACTAATTATTGGCATAACATTCAGTTTATATATCCACACACAGGTTTATCAGTGGCCAAAAAAGGCCGCACACATTTTGATCATGAACGTGGAGAGCTACATTTCATCATAACTTTTTAGTCACTTACAGTATTCCTACGAAAATTCGTATACATTTGAAGGTAGTTACAAGCAATAGAATAACGTTTCAAGTAAGTCTTAAGAGGTCTTATTTAAAGTATTAGGACGTATTTAAGTGTTTTCATACTTACCTAAATAATTTTTAAACGGTCCATTATTTTTGTTATTTTATTGTCGAACAAATTAAAACTAATCCTTAAGAAGTTATGTACAAAAGATGGTTACAATCCGCTTACCCGTTTCAGAGATCCAGCAAACCCACAAACATTACTCCAGCAGGATTTCGAATAACTTCGCAACCGAAGAAAATACAAATACCAAATAACTTGTAACATTTACCTAGTCCAGATAACTAATTATTTAGCTAAAATTTATTTCAATATTACAATTAAAAAAGAAAATGTCTGGCTGCGGTAACGTTTCAAACGTTACTCCAGCAGGAAATGTTTTTTTGAAATAACTAAAAAAGTTTAAGTGAAACAAATTTAAAAATGTGCTTAACAATTACAGAAGGGGAGCAACTAATTATCTATAAAGTTTAAATGACCATTTTCGACATTATTTTGCTGGGGTAACGCACACACGGGAGAGAGATGCTCTTCTTACGTGGACCGTATGTGCAGTATGCTGTGTCTAGACGCTGATGAGGCCGTATGGGTGACCAGGTTGGAGCGGTCGCTACCTGCATGTGGTATCCCTGTTGAGGCCCAGGCTGCTGGCTGGCTGAATCTTGATTACTGCTCATCGTTGTGGGAGTGTACACGATGATGGCGATGTTGCTACTGCGCATTTTCTTTAAAGGCTGGTTCCAATCACGTCGGGGTCACCGCTGAGGGGGAACGGGGGTCATATCCTTCCAACACGAAGGGAGGATCCACCGACCTGGAGAGGAGATCAAGCCTTGCGGGACGAGGCCCAACGATTGAAGTTGGGCAGTTGTATATATGCTTATCGGCGAGAGAATTATTCGTATTTGTAGTTCACGAATGCGTATTAACAGACACCAGCACTAATATTAAGTTGTTAACAACAATATTTGAACGAGCCGTGTGTTCGTGTTTTGAACCACTTACTGTCAAGTGGTTCAAAACACGAACACACGGCTCATCCTAAAAGGGAATAAGAGAATGTTCCCGGGAGCGGAACAACGTCATCGCCTCGGAGAGTAATGTAACATTAGCCACAAGCGTATTGACGTGCAAAACGCATAGTGATTTGCAACACCACATTTTTTTTTACAAATATTTATTAAGTTAACTACAATTTTAGTAATGGCAATTATAAAACAATTTTCTTACTTCACAAAAACAGTAAGAAAAAGAAAACAATAAAGGATATAAGTTGTAAAAAAAATATTAGGCAAAATTTCGGCAATTTAAAAAAAAACCTTAAAAGTCCAATATCTTAAAAATAGTTAGGTATGAAATATGGTTCTTCATAGTGAAATCTATTAGAAATGAAGGCAACTACAACCCCTTAACTTATCTAGGTCGACTTAACCAGTTACCCTGTAATTAGGTAGGTATGTGGTCGAATGGTGATATCAGGTTTCCCCAAATATGCATATTACTAATATTTAAAATAAAACAATGTTATAAAATAAAATACTTTATTTAAGCTCACATAATATTTATGTGTACTTAAGGCTAACTGTAATACAGTAAGTCTAAATAAATAGTTCTTAAAGTTAAGATTATTATCAACAGTAAATAAGTATTCAAAATTGTTTTATGTATTTTATATGTTTATTATTACTTATAGCAGGTTAAAATATAACTTATCAAACAATTTCATGTAGTAAAGAGATAACACTACAGTTTCGTAAAACTTACACAATTACACATAATTACTTACGTTACTCTACAATACCTTGCCCCTAATTCTGTTTTGTTGGTGCACCAATCTTTATTTTTATTTTTGATCAAAATCTAAAATTGTACAGTTTGTAGCTCCTTAAAATTAAAGACTACTGTTAAAGTTAGTAACAGTTTACTGCAACATTCCGTAAGCTGTATACAAAGCCTTATTTTAAATGTGAAATATCACAATACTGCTAGCGATTTAAAGAATAGCAGGTAGTGAAAAAGCACCAAATTGTTAATTATAAAATATTATTGATTATTGGTACACAAAATACAAAAAATATTACCTGTTTCTATTTACAACTTATATGAAATTGGTAGATTAAAAACCACATGTCCCTGAACGCAATGACTAGTTTAGTGTTCATATATAAAAATATATAAAATTTGACTCTATTAAATTTATTTTTTATTTCCATTACAGTTTTGTTTTATGTACTGATATATAAGATTATATATAATTAAAAAGAAACACAATATCGCTGCGTGGTAATGTATCGGCATGTTATATATAGCCCTTAATACTCCTGGTTGCTTTTCAGTGACACTGTTTAATTTTGACATACTCTTTTTATCATCAATATCATATGAAGGCATCTTCAGCTCTGATTCACGGTGATATTCTTTTTGGCCAGTTAATGCCTCATTTTCGGGTGCGTTTTCAGTCACAATATCTTCTTTGCTAATTTGGTTCACCTCATTTTTATATTCCGATATAGTGGTTGAGTGTATGATATTATCTTCATATATTTTTTGATTCATGAAAGTATTGGCCTTCTCATGTGTATTACATCCCATCATAATTTCAGTGATCACTGGTGAAGGAGTAGATCTTACCTTAGTCCCTGAACAAAATTCTAAGCTCTCTTGTAGGTAGCTATCTATTTTAGATAGCTGCTCTGATATATGTTCATTAGCCAGCGGGCTACAAGCTCTTTTAAGTGGCTCTGAAACATTTACTTTGTTCAGAGAATTGTCTTCCAAACTGGTTACCTCGTTTGCTGGCTCCAAATTATCAAGCCTATTGACCAAAGTGCCTTCAAGTTGCAATTCAGGTAACAACTTATCAGTTTCAAACAACTTGTTTTTACATAAAGAGCTAACAATCTTGTAACTTTGTAAATCCTCAAAATTGTTATTTATGTACTCGATAGGAGCAGGGCTTTTTTGTCGGATTTGATACATTTGAGATGGAGTTAACAGTCGCGGAGAGTCTAATTCTGGAGGCACCGGCGTAAACTTCACAGTGATTACGTCTTCATTTGTTATCGTTTCTGTTTTAACAATATCATCGACAGTGCTATTTCCCTTGGGATGGTTTTCAAATTTGGCGTTCGGTAAATCAGTGATGTCGTGTCGTGTTGATCTTTGTACCCTATCAACTGATACCTTGCTGAGTAACTTACCGTCTGTACTTCTTATGTCGGAAAACAGTCCTCCATCAAGGTGGAGGGGCGTTTCCAACTTTCTCGTCCTTTGGGGCGAAGGTGTGTTCAGGGGCGGTGTGATGGGAGAAGGTGAGACAGGTCGAAAAGTAGTAGTCGAGTAAACAGTATCAGAGTTATAGATTATATTTTGGGGACTTTTAGCGGGCGTGTATCTTGCAGAAAGGCCGACCTCCTTTGGCGAAGAAGCTCTGTCCTTCGAGGTTCTTTTTGCACACCTGCAAATAAATAATGTGATCCTAATATACTTAATATATAAATAGTTAGGTACTAATTTTTTATAATGAATATGAAGTATAAACAAATATTTAATTTCAAATAGAAAATCATTATCATATTACATACATATTTATAATATTAATGTAATGTCTACTAAACACAACAACACTATGATTATTTTTAATAAAACATCATTAAAAATTTATTATAATAAAGTACATAAAATAGCCATAACTTTTCAAACTGTTTCTTGGAAGCATGTCTGCAAGCATTTATGTGAGTTTATAAACTATAACTACATCCACCAAAACACTATGATACTTCCTGAACTGTGGGAAGTTGGAGAAAATATATAAATATTAATTAATAATGTACATGATTCCGTTATAAACATATAAATAGGTATGAGATTACACTATTGTATGCACACACACGATCACGGTTATTGGTAGGGGAGCAAAATGGCAGCGTATGACGAGCTTTGTAAGAAGACATTGTGTAGCTTGATAATAACCGCTACCGATCAACATTTTTAATAGATTTCGGATCTTCGAAATTCACGTTTATAATAATTAAAGATTAAAAACAGCGGTTTCCAAATCTGTCCATTCATTAGTTGCAAATATAATTGAATGGATTTTGAAATTACTGTACCTTTTATGTATGTATATTAAAATTGGTGACGGGACTAATGCTAGAATGTAGAATGAATGGGTAAGGCATTAATAATATGGAGTAATCATAATTTTAATAAGGTTCGTTATTGAGATTTGTAATTCTGAAATGCTCAAAAGGAAATATAACGAATTGTGTTGGGTTGTTTTCCTAATTTTCACAATAAAAAAAAAACGTGTTTTAGAATAGCAAGGTTCTGACTATTTTATGTAGGAAAAAATATATTGTCAATTTTTTCTTTAAGTTCGCTTAATAACATAATATGAACATATTAACAAAGAAATATTTTTGTAAGTGTTGCGTAAGTGTGTGTGTTTTTAGTAGGAGTCTCATCATACGCACCGTGCAGTTGAAGCACTGACTGTGGTAGTTATTGTTGAGCGCCTCGACCCACCTGTCGCCCGCCTCCACGGGGAAGCCGCAAGCGAAACATTTTGTAGTAAACAGGTCATTCCAATCTGTAACATATTTTGCAGATTATAAGAAGAATTGACTTCTTAAACGTTTTATATCACTTGTTAATGTGTCTACATAATAATATTAATAGTATGAACTTATATAATTACCAGCTTCGCAATAGGGCAATCCATCTTCTAAGAAAAATGGATTATTGCCGAACAGTTTTCCGCAGTAAACGCAGTTAAAGCATTCCGGGTGGTAGTGCTTGCCAATAGCGTTTAAGCAGTCCTGGAAAAATAGAAACAACTAAGTATAATTTATAAACCATACTTATAATTGACTATATTCCCTATAGAAGCAGAAGGTAATGATATAAGAAGGTACAAGTTTATTTAGGCGTTGCTTACGTAGCTATTTGATAATAAGTACCCGGTTCTAAACAATAAGTATCTAAAATGATTAAAGGGAAAGGAAATTTAATAAGAAGCCGCCTCATCTAATATGTAAAAAATTTAAACGGCAATTCCTTTTTGTATATTGTGTAATACATTTTCAGAAATAAATTTAATCACACTCGTGAACTACATTACTGACGTCATGACGTAAACATGTTCCTACCGTATCAGTATCTGAATTTCAGTTAATTGCATTTGTTTCAATAAAAACAAAGCCTTAGAGAATACAAAAAGCACACTTACGCCTTTTATTTTAGCATGGCATTTATCGCAAGCAGGCGCGATGTATTGTTCGAAACAGAATTCGCAGTAGAGCTGACCATTTTCTTCCACAAATCCAATATCCTGGAGCGGGCGCCTACATGTCGCATTTACACAAATGAAGTGTTCTGGACACCAGATACGCCCCAACGCCGTTATGAAAGGACCTCTGTTTAAAATAAATTATAAATAAACATAGATAGTGGATACAATCCAGTTCAAAAAGTTATATGAGTTTCCTAGAAATAGGTTAATCATGTTATACGAAAAACAACACTCGTGCGTTTAATTCAATTTCAATCTTCAATTTAAATTGCTTTTGCCATTGGAACTTACTTGATAAATATTTTGAAGGATCTTTATCAAAAGTAAAAACTTTTTACCTGGTTATGGCTTTGTCACATTTGTGGCATACAGGATAAAGTCCGTCTGCTACATCTGCGCATTGTATGGTGCTCATAGGTCGTGCAATTATATGAGAGTCTCGTCTGCCATCGTCGTTTCTTATATTTTTTTTCTGCCTTCTTCTTACAACTACTTCCTCATCATTATTTTCTTGATGAGTTTTCTCATCAATATCGGATAAGCTCTTTGTTTCATCCGCATGAAGCTTTGTATTATCCTTATGGTTGTTACTTCGCTCAACACCATTAAATTGGATGCCATTGTTTGGAGAAGTCTTCAAAGTATATAGTGAATTGTTATGTAAATGGTTAGGAAGTTCCTTCTTTTTATTAGAGTCCTCATCGTTATGGATAAATGTATTCTTTGCGTTTTCAGTTTTACAATTTAGGTCAAACACACTCGTCTTATTTCGTGTATTCGATTCATTCGATTTAATTTCATTGGTCGAACTATTAGAAATATTCTCTGGTTTTTCAAACAATTTTCTTTTATTAAGCGTGTTAGAATATACGCTATCTAATTTTGATTCTGTTTTATTATCCTGATTTCCATTGAAGCCATTCATGCTATTAAGAAAAGATGATTTATCGAGACCAGTTTTTTTTAATGTACCGGTGTAGTTGTGTTCCACTTTATCTTTATAAGAGTCTTCACTGCTTGAATAGCCATTTCCGTTGTAATATTTGTCTGCTCTCTCTATGCGCTCGTCAGGTGTAACATTAGAATATGTAGATTTAGCCACAATTTCTTGCTTTTTTTTATCATCATCCGTATTAATGGCAATTCCAATGTTAGTGTTGTGAACATTAAAAATTGGTACTGGGGAACTCGGCAAGGGTGGTGGTATTAAAATATTTGGTTTAGGTAGATATTCGGTTGTGTGATTATTTTTCAGAGGATCTTTAATTTTATCACTAATATTGTCAGGTTTTTTAAATACTCTTTCTGATGGTTTTGCCAAGTGATTTTCCAGAGTAGGTGGTGTATCTGTATTCAATGGATGTTTAGTTACAACAGTATCTTGTATCTTGTCGGCCATGGATTGTATGTGATCAGCCGGTTTAATTTTTCGCTGTATACCTATTTCATAACCGTTTAGAGCCATTTTTGCCATTTTTCTAATAAGCCTCTCTTCTGCTGGACTTTTAAATTCCGTTTTATGTGGACTGCTTGTAGCCAGAAGTTCATTAACTGTTAGAACATTAAAACAATGAAATAAACAAAAATGTTAAAAGCAAAATATATCCATGATACTAAGATTAGTTTCTATTCTTCAAAAAAATCACAAAATGCATAAGAAAACCCTAAAAAATATTAAAATCACACTATCCAAACTGTTACTGCATGCTACACACAAAACAATACACCATCTTTAAGGACTGAATCACCTAATATTCCCATTACAGGAGCCACACAGAGGCACGCGGGAACCCGGCAGCGCAGCTTTATTCAAAACTCCCCGTCCTCGTTTTGGGGCGGATGATACACCGAAAGTTTTGCCGCGAGCGGCAGCTCCTACACTCGAACCTGTCGATGGGGTAGGATCACACACTGGACCTTGGTTAGCACCAGAAATCGAAGGTTTTGTTGGTTCATAATTTTCAAATGATCTACTGGCGGCGGCGGATGTAAAATTTGGATTAGTTTGGTTAAAAGATGAACTCTGTGGTGTTGGCGACACAGATATTAGGGGAGGTGGAAAGACTTGTTTATGATTAATGTTTGAAGGCCTAATATTGGAGTCAAGATGTTCAAATTCTCCAGGTAATGATGAACCTCCTTTACGAATTTCGACCATCTTTGCTGATTGCGTTCTTTCAAATTCTTCGAACGTCTTTCTGGTTGTATGCGTTCTAGTATTGCCTTGCTCAGTAACATTTTGTGATTGCATTTGTCTTTGTCCATAATTTTCTTGGAATAGAGAATCTTCCTTTATTTTCATATCGTCCTTTGAGTAGTTTTCCGTTTTATATCCAACATTCGTATGTTTTTGCTCTTTTACTACAGATGGGTAAATTTGACTTTGGTTCCAATTTTTGGTATCATTAGCATTATATAATAGGGTTGCATTGCGGAAGCCCCGCTGTTCTGTCTCATTTTGTTTTTTATTTGAAGACTCTTGTGACATAAATGATTCCGAAGTATAGTTTTGCGGAAAGTTTTCTTTAACTCGTGGTGCTTGTGCTTTTAATGGATTGGGAGGAGGTCCTTGGGCGGGGGATCGTGATCTTGGTTTTGGTGTAGGTGACCTACTAGCTTCTCGACTAGAAGGCTCATACAAATGACTCTCTGGTGCCAGGTGTTCTACTGTTACTAAATTCATTTGGTAATGAGGAATTATAGGTGCTGGTTTATTAATTAAACTTGGTGTACTTGGACGACTACGTGAAGGTGTAAATCTTAAAAAGTTTTCATCTGTTACTGGTTGAAATGTCATGGTTATTGGAGTGTCTTTATGAAAGTGAACCAGTTCAGACTGAGGAACTGGTGTTTTTAATTGGGGAATCTTAGTGACTGGTACTTCAGGCTTAATGTGAGTGGAGTTTGGTTCAAAGGATTTTTCTTTGGATTTTCGCGGTAGTTGAGTTGTCGGCGTTACTGGCCTTTGCAAAACAGCTGGTGCGTTGTAAAGTTCTGGGGTTATTCCCCTTTGAGAAGGCAATTGTTCAAAATTTCTCTGATAAGGAGGAATACTGTCTGGTTTATGTAATCCTGATTTGGATCTCGTTGCGCTGGATGTCAAGGATTCTTTTTTGTCCAATTGTTCAAAATAATTTTGGGCGTTTTTCACCGACGAAAAACATTGAGTATCCATGCTACTGGAAACTGAAGAATGTTGCATAACCATTGATTCTGAATACATTGTTTCCTGTTTTGTTTTAGTAGCCTGAGCAAAACTAGTTTTTATGTCATTGCTTATTGGAGGAAAGCTTGAAAGCTTGCAAAACTCTTCAGGTTGTGGTGGTGTGAATATTTGTTTTGATACTGGTCTAAATGCTGACATTTCGGCGGACGATTGCAATTGACAGGTATTTTGCATAGCTGAAAATTCTGAATGTATTTTATCAGTAATTAGAGTTGAAGTTTGAGTTGCTATTGGTTTAATAATATCAGACAAATTGGTTTCAGTAACATGTGAAACAGAACTTGTCATGTATTGACTTGTTTGATTGGTACTGGTAGAACCAAACGGACTATAAGGTCTGTCAGGTGCGATAGTTAATGCATCTCTAAGTGATCCTCTTCCTACTTCTTGGTTTTGAATCTGAGTTGGTGTGAATGGTATATCCGGTGCTGTTGTTAAGGCATCCACTAAAGGTGAAGAAGTTGTGTCACGAGGTTCTTTAGATTCAATGATAATCTTGAAATCAGGTGGAATATATGGGTTTGTCTGTTCCGGCATCGGAATGGGGGGGAGTACTTTTTCTGGAGGATTGTATGTTTTTATAGGTGGTATGGGTGTTGTGCCTCTCTTCTGTTCATGTAGAAACATAGGCGAGGATCGGGGTGGTAACTGCGTTTGATTTATGTCAGTGACATGTTTATGTTCAACGTTTTCTTCTGCGTTATTGGGTCCCGTTTGTTGGAATGTTTCTGGAACTGTGTTGCTAACTGGAATTGTCTGTCCGATGTTGCTAATAGGTAATGATGGAGTTGGCAAAGGAGAATATGGGCGGTCGGGAGCAGTTGTCAAAGCATCTACCATAGATCGCACGACGTCAGCTTTATTTGTATCTGGATTAGCTTTCTCCTGACTTAAAGTCTGATTATACAGATCATTTGTATCAATGTACTTATCTTTACTAAAAGTTTTGTGTTCTGTGTCTTTTTGACTAAGAACAACATTTTCTGTTTTTTGCTGGATAGATGTTTCGTTTTGTTTGACTTCATTAAGGTCGATTTTATTACTTTCTTGAACCTCTTTATTCGCAAACTCAGTGTTAATTACTAAATTATTTGTAGTTTGCACATCTGTGGTCATTTGTGACTGCATGTTTTCTTTGGCTACAGCGGTTTGTATTTTATTAACATCTTGAAATTCTGTTTTCTCTTGATTAATAGATTGAATATTTGCTTGAGACTGATAAACAGTTGAACTTTGACTTTCTGATGATTTTTGGGAAAATGACTGCATTGTACCAGTCGACATTTCCTGATTCACTTGTTTACTTTGAATGGCGGATTCAGATTGAGAAGTTTTTGTCAATGATGAAATAGTGGCTGTCGAATACGAATGGCTGGAAGATATTTCTTCTTTTTGTTTCTTAGATGTGACGAATTGATCCACTACTTGCTGTTCAACAATAGCAACTGCAGATTTTGAGTCAAAAGTATGTTTTTTTACATTTTGCGTTGTCGTTTCTTTGCCGTAATCGGAAGGTTCATCATCAAAGTTGTTTGCAGGTGGGGGCCATACTACGCTTTTTACATTCTGTGCTGTTAGTGAGTATTAGAAAGGTTATTGTAGGGAAAAAATAGATGAAAGTAAAGATTAGTAAATTTAAAGAAATCACGTCTCATCGTATATTGATGTAAGCTAACTAGCTAAAGTCAAACTGTTTTAAAGAAGCCAGAAAGTTAAAAACTGATTTGATAGTAATTAGGTTCTATTATTTTATTATGTGACGCATGACTCAACAGTGCCAGGGCGATAATTATTTTTATATTGCAGCTGCGGTCCTTAGGTATTGCCTGCGTAGCGCATTCACTCTACAACTCAATATTATATACATAATTATATTTATTACATATAAACAAACCCATAGCTAAAGGAAGCTAAACTGTGCACCTATTTATAAATTACCTTTAAAAAGGGAAACTGGGGTCTCTGTCAAAATAAACAAATAACTTAAATCATTTCGTTTTAACTTTAGTCGAATTTACATAAAACCACATTAAAAACTCATATTTAATCTTCGACACTGAGTACTTTAAAGCCCAGTAAACTTATGTAGGCTACCTACATTACAAAACTATATATATTTCTAAAATACAAAACAATAGAATGAGAATGACAACATGTACATGTATGTAAAGTTAGACTATTAATTACTATGATAGAATACCTACTTTTTATTTTTATTATTTAGGTGTTTCAACACTTAATGCACAGGTAGTGATGTGACACAAAATATTAATCTAAATTAATATTTTTTCCTCTAATGTTTGTAAATCTATAAATTCAAAAATCTTCATTAAAATATATGTAATTTATAATTATGATATTGATATCATACTTTCTAAAATACTGCGACAGAGGTACGCTGTTGTATAAAAAAATAAACTGTTTTACTTCATAATTACTAATTACAGAAACATAGGTAAAAATTCCTAAAATACTGCTTTCTGTTTATGCACTTAATTACAGATGAGTTTACAGAATTAATAAAATTTACCAGCTACTTCTTAATTTTTACATCTTAAACCCTCACAATCGAGTAGTCTCGGTACCTATGTTAAATTATTATTATTATTAAAAAAATGTACAAAATGACTAGTTTTAAATATGAAGGTGACTACATTCGTTGTGATAGTTTTAGATGATCTAAGGATTATACAGCAAAAGTAACTCTCTTACTGGGGGCAAAGGGTGCTCCTAGAGGGGGAGCCGCCGGAGGAGCGGGCGCGGGCGCCGCCACCGGCCGCGCAGGCGACAGCGGGGCCGAGCGCGGAGACAGCGACGGAGAGTACGCTGAACCGATGGATGAGCCGAACGGCTTTGGACCTGACAAGTTGCTCGACGGCTGTGTACAAATGAGGATGAGACAATAAATAAACACTTAAACATTTTAACATTTATTTACATGCCTTACGGCAGAATAACGTATATGGTTGTAACGAACTTATACTGGAACTACTACTGGTGGAACTGTGAAGACCCTTCCCATGAGACAAATTCATAATAGTTTTTTAATGGCATTTCAAATTTAGAGCATGAAGTTTTTACTCCTCGCACTAGTAGAACTGGTTAAAACTTTTATGACTTTCAAGAAAAGGCTTAGCCAATGCTGAGCCTTTTCTGTTTAAAAATCTAAGGCCCAATTAAGTGATGTCGTCATATTTATTTTAGTCGTAGAGGGTCATTTAACCAATATTATTGAAAAATACTTTACTTAGGTACTTTTCAAAAATCATTGCTCAATGAAGAAACCTTGTGGTGAGAAAAAGTTTCTTGATAAAAATTACTTACACTAAAAAGCGATGACGATCCGTTTGAATAGTTGTTTGTCGCCAGCGGCGGTAGTGGAGTCGAATACGTATTGGTAGGAACACGACCACCACTGCACATGAAACAGTTGATTACATATATTATTATGTATATCATCCTAAATCTATACAAATTATACAAGAGATAAAAGTCCGTTAATATTGTAATATATTAAGTACAGTAAACTGAAATAATTTAAGATAGGTATTGAAACAAATATATAGTGGGTTTGTTTGTTTTGCCACTCAAGATTAGACCGAAACACTATCAAGTTTTTGTCTTTCCTTAGCTTATCAGTAAGTAATAAAAACGAATTTATAGTTGGAATTAAATGTAGAGCTCTAACAGAGAGAATAACATAAGGACTCACGGAGGAACAGTTACTGGTTCGAGATTTGGTGCTGGTGGGTTCTGGCGTGCCACGAGTTTAGCGTGGATGTCACAGTAGAGCTTCCCGTTCAGGTTATAATAGCCCTGATTTTTGAGTGAACTGCCACACGTAGAGCACTTGAAGCATTCCACGTGCAGGTTCTTATCTTTGATGCGCACGAACACACCGCTATCGCATAAAAGAACAAGTTAATACACAGCTGGGTGCATATAAAATATAGGAACCGCTTTACTAAAGTAGAGATTTTAACAAATGTGGGTAAATTACTTCGGTTCTAAATGATCGGCTAAATGATTCATTATATGTATATGAGTACTGTAGCTAAATATGTAATACATATTTGAAATCTGAAAATAATAAAGTATATTATAATATAATTCTAAAAGTAGATAGGTAGGTAGTGTTACTTCTTACTACAAACATACATTACACAACAGGTGCTCGTGCTATTCCACCAATTCTGCTACATAACTAGTTGCACTGGTGCTCGTCTAATATGTACATTAATAGCGAAGTGAGGACATGCTGAATGAAGATATACAGTGGCGCTGATTTAAATATATAATTTAGTCATTCTGCCTAACTACTAAGTATGAAAGTAGAAATGAAGACGATTAATAAATGAGCAATGATTTTAGCACTTTAGTACAGATATCGCAGTGACAACGCTCCGGCGACGAAGTCCAAAATGATCGTTTAACAAAAGACGATATGTGTACTAACTTACATGTTACGCCTCCCAGCGATACGATCGCAATTTTTAGAACACAAAAAATAATACAAAAGGGGAGAGTCGCAACACGAAGGATCACATCGAATTACTTTTAATCTACAAGATAGAACTAGTGCACAGGTCGACACGGTCGCAAACACGTCAAGACATTCCGTGGGGCGTCGCTTACATAATGTAGCGATTACAATCGGAGCAATAGGGGGTGTCGTTGACCACGGGCAGCGAGTCGCGTGGTTGCGGTACGGCGGGCACGCCCAGCGCGATGCGGCCGTCCGGGAGCACCTCGTGGCAGCCCAGCGGGATGCTGGCGCGGTGCGGCGGCGCGGGCGCCAGCTGCTCCTGCGGCGTCTGCGTGCCGGCGCAGCTGCGGCTCGGAGCGGTGCGCGCGGGCGGCGTGGCGCTGGCCACGCGCGGCGTGCGCGAGCGCGAGCGATGCGTATGGTGCAGGCTGCCCGGCGTACCCGCGCGCGCCACGCTCGCTCGCGAGTAAAAGTGAGAAGGCTCTGCTGGCCCGCAATATCCAGTTACTTCATACATCCTTTACTAATCGACGACAGTAACTTTACCGAAGTAAAAACGTGTGTATTGAGCCCGTACGATAAGTTCATATAAAATGAGCGATGCAATACGATGAGAACGAAGACTAAGAGAATTGGAATAATAATTTGTTTAAATTAACTCATTAGATCCATTCCATCGAAATTTAGCTTGCGATATGTGCTACCGTGTCGGCCCGCGCCTGTTGTCCGACTTACGTGATGAGTCTTTCGCACTCCTCGCAAATGTTCTGTCCTGGGGGCAAGCCTCCAGTATTGTTGACTGGGGCGTCAGGTCTCGTGACGGGCGCTTGCACGTGACGTAATCCAGACACCGGCGTGGAGGGCGCGGGTGTCCCCCCTTGGTGGGCCACCTCTACTATTGTGCCAATTACATTGTATTAATTTTGACTTGTCTTGTGCGGTCAAGTTTTTTGGGTAACTCAAAGGTACTACTAAAGGTGACTGGTTAACGATTTACTGTTCCTGATCCTATACTTAGACCCTCTACTGCCGCCGATCTATTCCCTTCTTTTTGTTGATATTTGTATTATTTACTTAATTTGTTCAACAGTTTCATTTGAAAGATTGTTTTGTATTGTATTTGATTTAGTTATATGTACCTACTTATTGACTTTACAAGATCTGAAAAGTTATAATGATAATTTTATCTTATACCTGGCTCGGGGTCGTTTTGTTCCTCTTGCAAAACCTTGAAGACAGCACTTTTTTCAGAGTCGTATGTTTTCTCATTTTTCTTAAAGTTCACTCTGCCAATCATACCAAAACATTGATTAGTTGAAATTACCTACTAAATGTGAAATGTGAAGATTTAAACAGATATATACGACATGAATGCTAGTGGTAATCGCTTGATGTTTATTGCACAATTGGGTGCAGCATCCAATATTATAACACAAAAAAGTTAGCAATGTTATAATTTCACATTTCATAAATTCCAGTAATTTGGATTTTCTACAGCATTCCGACTTCCAACACTTAGGTGCCTTTGAAACAACATAATTTTAGTAACAACTTACCCGAGTACGCCACCCGCGAGCACTTCAGTCTGGGCCGAGAGTGTTTCCGCAATGGTTTTGTCGCTGTACATGTTGACGGGTGTGTTGTACTGTTTGTTCACTATGCTCTTCACTGAGTCATTGCCGTTCATCTATAATACAAGAGTTTTTATGGTAAAATTGATATATTTTATACTTTTTTCTATTATCAGATTTATCATTTTCACAAAGCCAAAGGCTTATTTGTCTGCAACTTTTAAACAAAAAACTGTAGATCTAAATTAGTTAAAAATAGTTTGAATCGTTTTTAATTCTGGGTTCTACTTACGTAGCCAAAGGGCTTGGCAACATTGTTGTGTCCGGAGCCGAAGGCTAGCGTGGGTTGAGGTGTGGCCTTAAGTGAAGTGGTGGTGACAAGGGCGGGTGAACCTCCGATAGGTCTTGATCCAGGTCTTGGCAGACTTCCGGTGGGAGTGACTGTTGGGCGCCAAGTGTTGCCGCCGCTGTTAACAACGACGTTTCATTGAGTGGTGACCAAAGACCTTGCGTATTTAGTGTTATCAGAGTAATTTGTTGTTCCTACCGTTGAACGGTAAGTTCTAGGTTGACGCCGGCGGCGCGAATGGCATCCTGTGCTTCTTGGTGTCGTAGTAAATACACATCAGTGTTGTTGACTCGGATGAGCGCGTCACCTGCTTGGAGACCAGCGCGCTCGGCCGCACTACCGCCGTTCACCTGTATTAAATGTACCATCGTAAATACACTCGATTTTGAAACAGTTGAGAAGGTATCATATACTTTCAACTGACACTTGAAGTAATATTGTAGCCGAACGGCGTTATTCTACCATGGAGAATAGAAATGACACACAGATTTATAATATGCTCATGCATGCTAACTGATTTGAACCGCTCACTGATTTTGACTATTCCTATCCTATTTTCCATTCATCATCATCATCATCAGCCTATCACAGTCCACTGCTGGACATAGGCCTCTCCCATTGCACGCCACTTAGATCGATTTTGGGCTTTTCCATTCAATTATGGTTAATCGAAAATAGGATAAATTTTTGTTACTAAGATTTTATATCTATCTATCTACATATTTAGAAGTTTATAAAAATAGAAGAGTATAAATATAAATGGAGATTAGAATAGATATATATATATTGTACAGTTGTGCTGTGCTAATAACTGTGCACCCGTTACCAAAAAACACTATCGTTTAAGAATTATTTCAACATTAGCATAGACCAAAACTGATATTTTAAAATTATTTTGCATGAAAAATGTAAGCACTTGATTAATATAATCTATTCTAATTTGTATATTACCATTCAAAGATATTTCATGAAAATTAGGTCCACATCCAGTCAGACTAAGGCGAACATACAACTGGTTCAGAAATTGACTTATATACCTATAAGGAACCTCTTTTAACATTTAACAAGCCTCAGACAAACGATATAAAAATATCAACTGCCTAATACACAAAATACCTTTGTATATTAGAAACTATTGAAGATAGTTAATACTATATTAAATTTATGTAGGTATGTCACGTATGTTTATTTACATCACCTTGACTGACCGACCAGGTTTACTGGGAGAGAGTGCCTCATGGCATTAAGTCCGCCTTTGTACAACATGTGCATTTTATTTGCAAGTTTCAAATAAATACTTAAATAAAAAATGATCATTGTATCGTGATGCTGCAACTGATCTTCAGTTTATTTAGGACATGAATGCTTTAGTGACAGCTGTCTCTCTAGAAATCCTTTTTCCTATCTTAAAATGATACGATAAGAAAATATTATAGTCATAACTAAATCTTTATTCATTTACTTTTCCTTTTAACCTCTTACGTAGAAAGCAAACATTATTGCTAGTTATTAGTACTAAGTACATCAGAAATACAACTTTCTAGTCAAGGTTCCAAGGAAAAATTCTAAGTAGGTATATCTTACTTTCTGTACTGTCTATTTAACGAGGCACTGGTTATGTCGTGTTTTATGGTTTCAATTTTCACAACGGCAAATTGTTAGTGCTTTATAAACTTTACTGAGTTTAGGGTAGGTATGTAGGTCGGGCACGCCATTATCGCGGCGGTAAGACCCGTTATGAAGGATTGGCTCGAGAGGCTTCACGGCTCATACCGGCTGACGCAGCTAATCACCGGGAAAGGATGCTTCGGAGATCACCTGTGTCTAATCCGCAAGCAGCCAACGCCTGAGTGCCACCACTACGATAGCCGGACCGTGGACACGGCGCTCTACACGCTGGCAGAATGCCCGGCGTGGGTGGAGCAAAGGCGTGGCCTCGTGGCGGCCATCGAAATGGGAATTCTCTCGCTTGGTAATATGATTGCCGCCATAGTAGGGAGCGAGAGTGCTGGAACTCCACCGTCTCCTTCTCCGAGGAGGTTATGCTTGCGAAGGAAATGACTTAGCGGGACCCCGGAGGGATTCAGAACTGTCCCGACCACCAGGCCCGGGAACAGGCCAGGTACCGCAGACGACTCAGGCGCCTAAAGTCCGTCGACCTCCATCCTTCATAAGCGCAGGCTTGGGGCTGACTGGTGAGGCCATCTTTCACTCTAGCAGAAGCAGGCCGGGGTGGGTGGCGGCGCGACGCACTACGTAGCGCACACACCCTTTGGGGGCAAAAAGGGGACCTAAGGGTTCCCACACAAGAGAGGGTCATCTATAAGCCGTAGATTGCCCGAGGTACGTACCTACCAAATACCAGGGCTTTGGCTTGCCTTTCTAGGGTATACCTAGTTCCCCGGCTACTGGTACTTGGGTGGTATCCGAGGAGAGTTCCGCACAGCCAAAAAAAAAGGCTAGGTATGTAGGTGGTCAGTGGTTCAAATGACAAACGGAGTGTTTTGCCAGTCACATTATTTTATTTATTTATAAATATATCTATCTATAATTATTTAATATATCATCATGTTGAAGAAAACATAAAAAAAATTAGATAAGCGAGATATAAATCAAACTTTTAACATGACTCGTAATTAAATAACAGATAAGACAAGAAATCAAAGAGACCTGATTAGGGTAGTTAGTTTTAAGCAATTTTGATCCTTCATTTTTATAAATGTTTAGATCCAAAACTTCAAGTTATCGTTGAAATGACGTAAAACAACGTATGACACTATTAAAAAAATCATGTTGTTGTAATACTTACTCAACTAATGAACGTAAAGTCAATGACAAACCCAAAATTGAGCAATAGTATTAAGTGCGATGATGTGTTTCAAAACTATAGTGAATATATTTTGAAAGAGGAAAAAACCATACACTGACACATAACTGATTCACAGACACATTGGTACATTAATTTGTACACCAGAACACCAGATTTTGAATAAGTGTTTATAATGTTGTAATTTTTTACGATTAACTAAGGCAATAATATTACATATTAATATTAAGTACACTATGTACTTACCGATATAAGTAGATGATACCAAAGTCAAATAATAATAATAATATCCTACAATATACTCGTATTAGTACATCGGAGTACTACGAATGTTTTATTTCTACCGTCTTACTGTTTGGTCAAACGGAAAATATATTTATATTGACTGATACATTTATAGTCTGTCGCACCGAAAGCACAACGACAACTGACAAAAAATGACTCATCGTGATATGAGTATTATATCGCCTTATATATCTATAGCTAAAACCTCCGTCCCCGCTACCGTCATACGTCGCATTTTTCCTTCCGGTTTGTTCACTACCGGTAATTGCTAACTTGACCCCAGCTGCCGAATCGGCAGTTTTATAGATCAACTACATACGAGTACCTACACACTTATTGAGGTGCACGTCGTGCAGTAATTTACGGGCGCAAAAAAAGTTGCATTCCTTTGCAGTCGTTAGTCAGGTTGAAGTGTTCTACGTCCACCTTGCATACCTATCGCAGTTTTTGCATCTCATATATTATCATGATGTGTCATCGTATCTAATTATTAGCATGCAAGATTTTTGACTGGTCTTGTTCTTCGTTTACAAGAACATGAATTAGTTTAACACTTGAAAATACTTTTGAAAAGTTACATTACGTTACTGACGCTAAATGACTTTATACTTTAGAAGATCTATGCCACTTTTTGTTATGAAGTCCTTATTTGGATTGGACTGGAATCTACTAAATTGGTAAAAATGCCTTGAGATATGCTTTATTTTTCTAAATATGGTGTTCATTTTTAGTACCTATTGTTGTAAGTTCTTTTATGATACGAACATACTTAATATATACATGCATTTATGAATGTCCTTAAGTCGGCGCCGCACGCGCTGCCTCCTTATACGGCCAGAGAAGTACAAGAACAAGAAATTAAATGCATCTCGGAAGCGACCGACGCGGCTCGGCGCCCGGTCGCGTCGCAAGACCAAGCCGTATTATATTTTCTTTTTTGTTTCTATTTTTCTCTTGCAATTCAAGGACGAACACCACGAAATTACGATTATATTTCTTACGGCTTTAACACAAATATAATTAATATAATATTGAGAAAGGGTTTAATTTTACGAAGGTTCAATTATGGTAATTTGTAGTCTCTTATGTCCATATTTTATAAAGTCATCTCATCTCCAATGAAAGTTCTTGACTTATATTGGATTATATATGGAACACCTATTAATTTAATAAATTTAACATCACTCATGACAGTTCATAAAATAAATCTATATCTCGGAAACGGCTCCAACAATGTTCATGAAATTTAGTATGCAGGGGGTTTCAGGGGCGATTAATCGATGTAGCTAGGTTTCATTTTTAGAAAATTCACCAAAAAAAAATACCGAGCAGAGCTCGGTCTTCCAGATACTAAGACACTAAAGAACATTTGATGCCTCTGTTTGTGGTCGGTAAAGATACATATAATATATTACTATTAAAATTTATGAATGTTTTATTTAACCTAAAATAAAATCACTAAATATTATTAATATCAGTTCATAGCTTTGCCATTAGAGCAAATGTCAGGGTCTGGATCACCATAGAAATCCTAATAATAAGACTATTACGATTTCTATGTGGACCACAGATTACTATAATGTAGCCAGCTATCTGGACCTACATAGAGTTACAAAGAATACAAAAACCCATAAAAGGTTTTAAGATAACAATATAAATTAATGAAGACTTAGGAACGGTAATTTCTGAAAAATTTTGTTTCCTTTTATTATGCTTCATCGACAGTCCGAGAATCATTCAGACTTAATGTAACTCGAACTAAATTTAAATTTAAAACTCCTACTTGAACCAATGACAAGCATACCTACGTATTACATTAATTAGTTAATATTTAAAGAATGCATGTGTGTTATCAGTAATAGCAGTGTACATGGCATGTAATTAGAATAGACACATAGCGATAATCCACAGAAGGCGTTGTTGTCGCAGCTCACAGTTCTAATTTCAAAACAAATCCCTGCCAGTACGTGACTCAGATTGTGTTCCATATAAACGACAGAACCCGAATAGTTACGCAACTACCAATGCCCGGCAAGCTGTGCGCGATTCCGGTTAATAAGAGTGAAACTGGTACGTGGCCGTGAAGATAAACACAACAGCAAAAAATCTGGACTGCTCTTTCAGAAATAGCAACGAATTAAACAGAATAGATTTATTAGGCCGCACTTGCTTGTAACGTAATATTTTCAGGTTTAATGTTATATATGTATACAGCAAAGAGAGCTATCTGCTATCACATTTCCATAATATCCGTTCTCAATGAAGCTATAATATTCGAGGTAATAATTTTACGACCTTTCGTTATGTCTACATTAGAATTTTACAGTTCGTAAGTGGGTTATGTAAAAATTGTCAAAACTTTTTGGTGACTGCAAACAATGCAGTCACAGTAAAAAAAAAAAACACAAAACCTTTTTCACGAACTTCGTTGAGGAAACCATTGTTGTAAAAATCAAGGTTTTAAATACATCGGTCTTCATAAGGTTATATGTGTATATAAACTTTTGAAGTTATGTAGTCGTAAATTTCTGTATAAAAACCTTGCAGACTTTTCGAGGATACCCGTATAATTTGCATTCTTGTAATCAGCTGTGTTTAAATTCTTAAATGATATTAAAGTTGTATTATATAGGTAATATTGGTATTATGCTTAATTATTTTATGTGTGAAACAGTTGATCTCGGTATTAACTGTGCAGCATTTTTATTACACAAAATCCGAGGATTCAGAGAAAAGCATAAATGTAACTTTCCTATTTAATACCTAATGATAAAAGTATATTTAATGGGCTGGTTATGCTATCAACAACCTTTAACAGTCCACTGCTGGACATAGGCCTATCCTTAGAAAGGAGGTTTTGGCCTAATATACCACGCTGGCCAGACGGGTTGGTATAGGCTATACCTACTAAAAATAGATTTAATATCAATATGTACCTACATAAAAATATATCAGCACGGATATATCCATTGTTGGAAATATATTCAAGGATGTGCAAGGTATACTTTCATGATGATGTGAGCTTAATAAAATGCGTTTAGAGAAGAAACATGACAATTTTTTATCTAAAACGCCGATTGGGTAAATGGATATGTAGACAAAGAGACGTTGTTTTAAAGTGTAAACGTACGTAATGAAAAAACATTTAGCAGATAAAGAATGTCTGGTCAACATTAGAATGCATTACACCACCACATTATAGTGGTGGTTTGTAGTTTGTTTCTAGAAGGCTTAAGTTCAATAAACTGTCATACAAAATTCTCTTGACATCTATTTAGCTGAACATAATCACGAACCATCAAAAGTAACGCATCATTCAAAAAGTACCGTTGGAATTGGCTAAGCTAATATAACATCGCTCGCTATCTTCTATTGACATTGCTAACCGTCATACCCGATATATTCGGCCGATCGGTTCATGACCAAGATAAAAACTATCATTTGCCATCCACTTTTAGCGAGGTTCTGTACCTACCTACCTACCATTTGTTTTTCCAACGCCTTTAACCTTTGATGCTAAAACTAATATAGCTCTTGGCATGAATAGATGGACGGACGGATGTAATGGTTTTGCACTAATAAATAATATTAACGTATATACGAGTATATGTGACACTAGTTGAAGAGTAATTTTATTCTGCTCAAGTTTGGTAAAATAAGCTTAACAGTAAAGGTTCAAAGTTAAAACCATTTAAATGTAACGTTGTTCCTAATAGTAAATATAAGAATACATTATTTTTTTCATGTAGGCTAGTGCCGACGTTTAATTTTATACGTACCTACTTTAATCTAATGGTGAATCATGCAATACGCCACATTGCCATTGTTTGATTAAATTGCAAGTTATAAATCGCGCTTCTCTTTTTATAAATATGAATTGAACTTTGAAGGTATTACTGCCTACAATTCTTGTTGAATATTAGATAAGCAATAAAGCAGGCATAAAATATACAATCAATAACATAATATTTTGTAAGATGTTGTAAAAATATTTAAAAAATATAATATGTTGTGGCTCCTTATATTGATATTTGAAATCAAAAAAACACTTGTATACACAAAGTGGTGTACAAGTTACACTTAAGTATTTAAATGTAAGTTTTAGTGATATTTTTTCTAACAAGTGTTAAATCAAATGTCGAAACGGGGTCACTTAACAGTTGATGAGTGGGTAAAAGCTCCTTCGGTTAACTTATCGTTTATAGACAATTTTTCAGGTCTGACATCTACGTACCTACTTAAGTGGTCCTACTGGCCTCACTACATTAATCAATGCAATTATTTCAAAATCGCAATGAAGAAAAACTTTAACACGAATTTCAATTAAATTAATGACAATGAGGACAAAAAGAATCCTTCCCAGAGTAGGGCGCCATTTAAAATACGGTAGAAGAAAAGCTTAATTCATTGTTATGTAAATCATTTGGAGACTCCTTTTAACGGATAACAGAGATCGTGGGGATGATAATAATAAATAGAATGATTATCGGGCTAGATAATAATAAATAGCATGAAAAATTAGCACCAGAAAACCTATACGCGACCATTGAGTCTTTTTATGTTTATATGAAATAATGCAATAATACATCGATGCTTGTGTTTTGTATGTCATTATATGTGGCGCCTATATTTGTATGATTCTATTAATTTTATCGTAACTCAAATCTTTAAATTAAACCTCATTGTTGGGAGAAATGATTAAACCGCCTAATTTCCCCGCCTTAATAAAACACATTAATTGAATTGTTATAGTTATTTATAATATTATAATTATAATCATAAATAGGTAATGAAAACATTTTTCACCTTATTATTTTATTTTCGTTCTTAACTAATTTAGATGTTGAGTTGTTTGTTTACACATAAATAAAAATAGCTTCATTACAATTAACTAAATTAAGAACAGGAAGCTCAAAATATGTGATGGCTATTTAGAACGATGTAATGCGCCTACGTAGCAGAAGCTTTTTTAAAAATCTTTCACGTTTTGAGCTTGTTACGCATAAAAACTGCATACTTTTACAAAAACTGTTCGTCGTCGACTGTTCAACGTTTTCCCGCGACCGAACGTGGGTGGACGAAAGCGAACGTTACAACTTAACGATGTACTTGTTTTGTACATTGTAATTACCCTTTTTTTTTATGCGGAAATCCCCTCGGATACCACCTATCGGTGGCATGTCGGACTCGAACCGACTAAAAGCGCACGCCGTCTCGGGTACTAATAGCCGGGGAACCAGGTATACCCTAGAAAGGAAGTCCCGGGTGCCCCCCTCCGTGTGGGAACCCCATGTTCCCTCTGCTCCCTGGAAGCGAGCGCGCTTCGCAACGCGCTCGCCGCCACCCCGGCCTGCTTCTGCTAGGGTGACCGATGGCCTCACCTATCACCCCCAGGCCTGTGCTTATGGAGGACGGAGGTCGTTCTGCGACCCGCGGCGCCTGAGTCACCTGCGGTACCTGGCCCGTTCCCGGGCCTGCGGGGCCTGCGGGGCCGGCGGGGCAGGAGAGTCCTAAACCTCTCCCGGTCCCGCTCCGCCGTCTCCTTCGCGAGAATAACTTGCTCGCAGAAGGAGACGGCAGAGTTCCACGCACTCTCGCTCCGCACGATAGCCGCAATCAGGCTATCGAGCGAGAGAACTCCCACTCCGATGGGCGCCACGAGGTCTCGCCTCTGCTCAACCCACGCCGGGCACTCTGCCAGCGTGTGGAGAGCCGTGTCCACGGTCTGGCCATCGCAGTGGTGGCACTCAGGCGTTGCAGATCAGACACAGGTGATTCCCGAAACATCCTTTCCCAGTGATCACCTGCGTCAGTCGGTATGAGAGGGTCCCGTGATGCCTCTCGAGTCAATCCTCCATAACGGGTCTTACCGCCGCGATGACGGCGTGCCCGGCGCTCGGTTGCCCGAGTCGTTCCCTCCACTCCCCTATGATGACCTGGCGGAGTTGGGATTTCCGGTCATCGATTTCTCGAATCTCGGGACACCGACCCAACTCCCGCGCCTCCTTGCGCCACTGATACAGAGCCGCAAGGGCTCTCGCCTCCAGGTCCTACGGTGGAGTTCCGGCCAGGAGACTCGCCGCCACAAAGGAGATCGTGCGGTACCCCCTTATGATCCTGATGGCCAGCACTCGCTGCGGTCATCGCAGTATTGCGACGTTGCTGGCCTTCAGGGCCTCGCCCATACTGGGCACCCGTAAAGGGCCATGTAGAGTCTCCTGCAGGAGTCATCGGGTCCCTTCATGTTGGGCCGCAGTCGCGCCAACGCACGCGCTGCCCCAACCAACTTGGGGACCAGACCTCGGAAATGATGTCCGAAGTCCCATCGGCCATCGAGTACGAGCCCCAGATACCTGATCGAGGGCTCGATGCCGATGCGAGTGCCTCCTACCGTGAGGGTAGATCCCTCAGGCGGCTTCCTCCGAAGTCCGTGGAAGAACAGGGCCTCGGACTTGTGCAGAGCCACCTCGAGACCCAGCCGCCGGATTCGCTCAACGACTTGGGCAACCCCGGCCGTGGCCTTCAGGGTACATTGTAATTACCCTAAGTTCAGTAAGATAGTAAACAGTATCTACCTACATATTACTACATAACCTACCTAGTTACATGTTTTTAGTCCAATCAATAGCTTGCAATATCGGATGAATTATGTTTGATTCAAAATGCATCCGCTTGAGTAGCTTTAACCAAACTAATAATTTATTACCTCCACAGCTGATTCCTGTTACCATTTTGCAACTCCGTAATTTCTCCCAGTTCTGTGGTACTTAAAGGCCGCGATTACGCAGTCGTAAATTACTACTTATATAAGCGGATATTTATTTAACACGCCGTTTACTGACCTTTTGGACGACGAGCGGTGTGCCGAAATCTTTGCCGCCCTGCAGACGAAAGCCCAGCGGCTGGTGGTCTGCTTTGTTCAACCGCACAGTTATAACCTGTGCCATCTGTAAACAAAAAAGCAAAACACGTTAGGCATTTTGAATTATTTGTTTTGTATTTAAATTAACTAACAACAATTTCTATGCTAGATCTAATGCAGTACTTTCAGACTCATGGTTTTCGGAAAACGTCACGAGCTCTTACTACATGGATCTTAAAATAATTAAAGTGAAACTAATTTAATTATTTCCATTTCCAAACCTTTTTGTTAATTCATCATTATTCTCAAAACAAATAAATTACAAAGTGGAAACAAAAATAATTAGTAACTATTACACTGTGGTACCATTAGCCTGGCATTTGATTGACCCAATTGAAGATTTATTTTCTGTCATGCCCAGCCTCACGGGCCGCGTACTGTACGCAGACATCATGCGATCTATTTTATCTTCGATCAACATCTAAGTACAAAACCAAAAGACATCAGTGAAAGGCGGCTGAGAGCGGAACTCGTTTATTTATAACTACAAGGAATAAACAATAATCAAATCATTTATCGGTTTTCAGAGGTCTAAGATTTCTCTCCGTGATATTTTAAATTTGATTAAAAAAGTCTGATAGCATCTTCGTTTCGTCTGACAGACCGTATATTAATTCAATAGGAAACAGAGCCTTACGAATAAATCAACCATATTGGCGGTGTCTAATTTGTTTAGTTAGAGGTTATTTTACAGACACATGTAAGAGTCAGTATCGTTAATATAATAATTTAATAGTTTTAACGTTTAATTAAACTTAGTGGAAAACTACACAGATAATATGGTCTTAAACGGAGAGATTACTTATTTTACACAAGACGATTTACGATTAATTCGAGGCATCTCCTGGTTGCTATCTAGTTAACCTTTTACCCTCGACTTGTAACCTGCGTTAATTAAAATATTATAATAGATTAGCGGCATCTCTAAGATCTGTTTCTGCTTTATTGACTTACGTACAAAGTTTAGCAAATCACGTTGCAATTAAAATTAAGATTTTATAATAGTTAAATATAAACCAAGCCGGCCTTTTTTGAGGAAGCTGAACATTAGTTGAAACGAATCGCAGACGGTCACGTTTTTGCAAGACGTCCCGACAAATAGGATATTTCTATTTTCCGAAAGTCAATATTGTTGGTTGATTTATTTAAAAAAAAAGAGAACTATCTGGTGCAGTTTAACTGATAAATACAAAAATAGATGCGATAAGTGTGTAGTTTTTAAACTGCTTGTATTTAAGTTTATTTTAATATTCCGTACCCTTCCATTGCATCGGTAATAGGTCGTGACACGAGCTGACACTTTGCTGTCTCAAACAATTTACACTAAAAGACTACTAACGAACCCAACTAGTCCTTTGTTGTTAATGATGTGGTATTCAGCACTTAAAACTTCTCAATTGCGAAAAAAATTGAGGTGCCTACTAAAATGTTGTTACGAAACAGATAACCATACAGACAGAAAGATATTAGGAAGAGTTTGATAAAAACAATTAATTTGAAATAAAGAGATTGAATAAATGTTATTTTTATTTTTTCGTTCATTTATTCAAGGTAGCTTTTTAACAACTAAGGTCATTAACGACCACTAAGGGTACTTAAAATAATTTGTACACATTAATTAACTTAAAAATCAGTGTTTTAACATATCCACCTTGACTTAAACAGTCTCTTAAATCGCATATTACAAATCGTTCTTTCGTGTCTATAAGTTACAAGTCTATCAAATTGTGTGAAACAGTTAAGTCCTGGCCACATTTGCACTTATTAATATTATTTTAGTTATGAGATGAATGTGAGTTATATTAGTATGTCCAATGCGAAGTCTTGTCGTTGTCACTTGGCCTTTCTTACAAGAAAACGGTAATTTGTCGAAAATAGATTGTCTGATGCTAAGTAATTTAGTTGTGTTACCAGCTTGCCCTCAGAATCCCAAAGTAATTTTATTATTATTTATTATACTTAATAGTAGAATCGTGATCGAATGTTGCCTCTGTTTCAAGAGTTTGAACGGGTCTAATCGTTTCGGCACAGTGGCTATCGGACGCGCCATCTAATGTTAACTCGTGTTGAATAACGATACACTTGGAATCGCCACTTTCAAGTGCAAAGGCTTAGGAGTCTTCGCACTAATACTCAGGCCTCATGATAAACTCATGTTTTCACAGGATTTAGGATGGCAGGATTCAATATCTAATCTAATATATAAAATTCTCGTGTCACAATGTTAGTTACCATACTCCTCGACCGATTTTTATGAAATTTTGTGTGCACATCGGGCAGGTCTGAGAATCGGCTAACATCTATTTTTCATACCTCTAAATGACAAGGGTGACCCACACCAAAAAATTTTTCATTTTATTCAATATTTCCTAGAAATAATGTATATGACAAAACGTTTGCCGGGTCAGCTAGTAATATATAGATATTTTGGAAAGTTAAGTATAATATCTGCCTCATCCACCAGTATTACTTGGCGCTCGATTGGCAATACTATACTAATAAATACTAAAATACTAAAGCTCGTAACCGACTATATAGGAGAAGAGCTGTGTTATCAGACGGTGACAGGTCTTGAAACGGAAAAAAAATATGATTCGGACTTCCTGAACGAGCAACTGCTAAACAAAAATGTTCTGTCAGAAAACTGTACTTCTTCCTGATTTATCTAGTTGTTTACAGTTTTTACTAGTTATAAAGTTAAAAGCAGTAATTGAAATAATATGAGCAAGTAAGCTTAAGGAAGCCTAGACGGCATAATTTATTCAAATATATTCACGGTGTTTATAAAAATATTATGTCCAGTAAGACTTACAAAGAGACGTTACGCTCATTATAAATTCAATAATGTTGGATTTAATATTGATTTTCCTGCAATTACCTCCTATCTCTGTATTGTTGTCTTTAAAGGTACAATGTCATCTTGAAAGCCTTTGTTCGTGATTGAACTACGTTTACAGGTACTGTCTTATCTCAAGAATGCTGTTTGATAATTGTTATAGTTTTTTTACGACTCAGCTCTAATGTATTTTTACATTAAGATTTTTATTTAGCTTGCTGCCACCCACTGAATACCAGTAGGCGTTTTAAAAGTTGTCGGATAACATTTTTGGCATCTTGATATTCACAGAAATGTTTACACTAATTTCTATTATGACTTTTACCATTGATAAATTGTCCTTTGATGTATTTCAATTAATCAGCTACAGTGTAGATAGGCGTCAGAACTTATTTAGTAGACATAGGGCAGGTGTACATTATAAAAGCATGAACCTATATAATATACATTTTAAGCAAATACTGATTAATAACATACCTTAACGGTTGCGCTTCCTTTACATACTTATATAGTATTTTTAAGTCCAGTTAAGGACACGGGCCTTTGCATTTTTAGTAAATTTACTTAAATCGCTTTATTCCACAGCATTTCTCGGAAGTATCGCAGCGTTAATACTTGTTGTTCAATATATTTATTTAACACATTTGATTTTTCATCCAAGTGTTAGTCATACGTTAATCGATGACGTCACCGGTGAGTAACCACTGAACACCGCGCTCGTTGTCGGTCACAAAAGCGGTTTACCAGGTATTTAGGCGAGATGAGATGGAGACTTTATGACGCGCGTGTATTTATCTCCTAACAACATTTAAGTAAATCAATACCACTTTAAGATACACATAGAACGAATTCGATACTAAAGGCATCATGAAATATGTACATGCAATTTATTAAGTAGGATTTGTTTTTATTTTGTTAATTCAATAATTATGTTGAATGTAATACACTGCTATGTGTGGTAAGATATCTGTTACAGTTAAATAAATAACAACGTACTGTAACAAATTAAATACATGTTATATGGCATCAATTATTGGTGAAAATTTAGAAAGTAGGCTATTTCGTTATACTGTAAATCATTTTCTTCGCTGATTCTTAAGGAACCAGTTCTTTATTTATTTACGAACTTGGCTAAGGTTCGGAACCGGTAATTCGAATTTATTGACGACTATTAACTTAAATACAAACAAACTTGATAGTTTATGTTTACAAACGTATACATACCTACTAATTCTAATTGATTTCTAATAGAAATATTACGAATCAATTAATATTATTTGTGTAATTTTTAATATTAATTAAAACTGTTAAAAAGTTGAGAAGAAACTCATATTGCTAGAAATTTTTAACATTAACATTGTCCTACATACCGGGAATAGAATCAGAGTATTTGCGACAAATGACCACATTTTGCATTCAAAATCTAGAAAAGAATTTCAGCAAAAATAAAAGTAGGTAAAGAAAACGGGTATGTGTAATGTACTTACTAGTAAATGGTAAATGTAAAAGATATCTTGGTGATAATAACAAAGACATAATAGTGTGGTATGTGTTCACACACCTGCATAGTGTAACATAGCGGGAACAAATGTGGGATGCGTGGGAGTCTCGTTCCACAGTACATATAAGTAAGTAGATTATAAATCTACAGTTACTCTTAACCCGTGAAATACTAGATTAATTGAGATTAAAAGGATCCAGTGTATTGTTTGTACCAGTATAAGTAACATTATTTAGAACTAATTTTTTTAGCATTTACAAAGTTCAAAATTGTGATGCCATTTATAACACCTTTTTTTATGGTATAGGGGCAAATGAGCCGGACTGCTCGTGCAGTAGCATGAGCAGTTCTTGTGGTGACGGTGATTAAGAATACAGAGTGTCACCACCCCTATTCATTCCAAGGAAACCTAGGACCGAGGAATCAAACTACGCAGAACAATAGCAAAGAGAAGGAAAAATAGAAACAAACCCTATACCAACCCGTCTGGCCAGCGTGGTATAGTAGGCCAAAACCTCCTTTATAAGGAGAGGCGTATGACCAGTGGGCTATTAAAGGCTGTTGATGATGATGGTGATGATGAGCAGATGGGTCATCTGTGTGCGTGTGTTTGTGACGCTCGCCGCCAATGGACACATGCAACTTCCCTCCCCCATAAGTAGGGTGGAGGAGATGGTGCCTCCAATAT